AGAAATATGCTAGCTTTGAGTACAGAGACTCTCAATGGAGTGCCTGATAACACTGAGTTTTAATTCTGCTTTCTCCCTCTACATATCTTATAAATACGACCTGAGTTACTCAGCAACAATTAAGCAGAGAACTGCAGGAAAAAGAGCATAGATGTAACACGCTTTCTTTTTTCCAAAATCTAGGGGCTTTCCTAGATAACTCTTAATCATACTACAAGGCATAATACTGACATATTGTAATTATTTTATTGCTCCCTCTTTTTTTGGTTAAGGAAACTGAAAAAAACTGGAAAAAAAAGTTCTTTATTCCAAGCAACCTTATGAGTTTGAATTTGGAATAATAACCTTTATTTGTTTACTATTGAAGAGATTAAGAGGCACTTTTACATAAATTACCTCTCTTATTTTAAAGCAGATATTTAATTAATGTTTATTGTGTTTCAGACACTGAAACTGACTGAGTATTCACAGAGAAAGTCATGGTACTAGTCCTTATGGAGCACAGAATCTTAGACTTTTGCTTTTTACCCTTTATTTTTCAGTATTTAGAACAACGTCCCTCACCCCACTGCACACCAGCTCACATCACATTCCGCTTCCTTGCTTCACTCTTTCCTGTAGCACCTAACTATCTGACACACACAGAGTCTTCTTAGATATTTAAATTTTTGCTAGTTATCCCCTCAAGAGTATATTCCATGACACTAAAATAATGACTGACATGCACTTACCACCTAACAGATACTGATGAATAAATGAATGGATAAATATACGTACAATGGGTATTTTCATTCTATTATTACACTTGCAAAAAAGAGAAGCTTAAGGAAATTCAGGGCTTCTGTGATCACACTTCTTGTAAAAAGCAGTACCATCTGCCTAGTTTCCAATGTCTTTCCATTACAGTATGATGTCTTTTAAATTCAGGCATTGTCCAGACACCGTTATCTATGTTTCTAGCTGAAGAATGAGTAAAAAACACAAGGGTCACAATGACAAATTGTAGGTGCAGTAAGAAAAGAAATTAGTGGAATGCATAACATGATAGAGAAGACTGATCAATATATAATGATAGCCAGTGGATGTGTGAAAGAGAAAGTCAAAAAGAAAATAATGTTGAACGTTATAAAAACATCTCTAAACTGAAAAAGAACATGTAAAGAAACTGAGCATTTTGCAGTTGGTGATATCTTTTTATAGGCTTTTTAATGTACATCACCTTTAAGCTAATCCTTAGGTGCATTTATCGGTGATATTCTGTTGCCTCTCTCAGTCCTCTGCATTAATATTTTCAGTTCACCTTTTACTTACTAATCTCTTACACACATTAAATACTGTTTATTTACGTTTAGTTTTGGAAAAGACTAGGATTTCCTGTCGTGAAAAGTCATAATTAGTATTTTCTCTTTTATTTTCAGAAAGCTTGAACATGTGGACTGAAAGGTAAAATAAGCTTTACTAAAAGTTAGTGAGCTAAACAATAAATATCAGACAGCCACTATGGCAGAGCATTTTGTTACACATAGTAGAGAAAAAGAAGAAAAATACATGTGTGAGACTCCATCCATCCCACTGAGAAGTTTATCATACACATGCATACAAAACATCTGTTAAGTACACAAGTTAAATGATCACCAAATGGAATACAGAAGGCTTGAAGGAAAGGCAAAAGTGCATAAGAAGAGAGAGAAAAAGAGAATGTTTATTATGCATGGCAACCATCTGAATAAAACTGTGTAAGTTTGAATGAGCATAATGTGATCAAGGGGCAGTGAATTGATCAAGCGTATTTAAACTGAGGATTCATGCCACAGCATGTTTGAATAAAAGGTGTCCTATTAAAATGACTATAAAACTTATGTGGCAGGCAGAGTTAATAAATCAATTATTAGAACATACATTTATTGGTCACTGTTTATGTTTCAAGTACTATTCTGTATTCTGGAGATCCAGTGATAAGCAAAATGTATGAGTTACGCTCTTACTGAGCTTATAGTCCAGGGGAGGGTGGTGGACACAGGTAGCAAAGAAGTAAAGGAAGCAAAGAGNACACACACACAAATATTCTCTCCCCTTACCACCCTTGGTTTGTATTCCCTTGGCATTAAACTCTATAAGCCTAAAAGCAGTGTTCCCTGCTTGAATCTTTGCTTGTTTGTACTCTATCTGAGCCTATGTAGATACTACTCAAATGCTATAAAAAAGAAGGTCATTCAGGAAAATAAAAGAAAACTATATGTGCTACAAAAAAAAAAAAGTAAATTAGGGTTGACCTATTTCAATAATTAATTTCCATATTGTTGGCTCTGGGCATTCTTACCTGAAGTGAGAGCTGGTTTTCGAGCTTTAATATTTAAGGTGATGTATCCATCTTCATCCTGCATGGCTTTCTTTTGCACTGCAAGCGAGCTCTGGGTTCAATGACTTTACAAAATGTAGTGTCCACTTTTATGATTTCAGTGTCTTTCAGTCTGTGATCCTCCTCTCTCTGGTAAGGTGGAGCCCTGAGTTAGGGAATATGTTTGGTCCTTTGTTTTGGGTTTTGGGTTTTTTTTCTTTCCAGGAAACCCTTACATAGCTCCTCAGAGATACATGAACCTTGGACATAAAAACACAAAAATAATAATAACTTGTGGTAAAGGAGTAGATACAGCATTTGTTTCCTTTTTCCTTATCTTCAACTCTGAAGGAAGGAATATTCCATTATGTGTATCCTTTCAGAACAAAAGTTCACACTTTATCAGAACCCTAGCAGAGTTTAAATCATATTGTTTAAAGGAACTGATTTCTGGTAATAATTCAGGGGTAAAACACTGGCAGAGATAGTCTATTCCACTGTGAGGAGAAAGTCTAATATAATTTGATTTAATATAGGATAAATTAGATATTTCATGGCTGTATGTTAGAAGGCACCATTCCTAATCCTGACCTTCAATTCAACCAATTGCTTGCATTTTTCACAAATCAAATTCTTTAAAAATTCAAGGACTCCACACAAAGGAGGCTTCATACTCCTTAAGTTTAGGCATCAAAGGAAAATAATCATAAAGTGAAATAATACAGTTAGTGACTCCACGTATTGACTTTTAGTGATGTTTGTCTTTTAAAGTGAATTTCCAGGAATAGAAAACTCTTAATTCAACGAAATCATGTAATTTCAAGTATAGCGGTGCTTAGATGAAGAGCTATTTGGGAAAAGGATGGTTTCCTAGTGCCCTTTACATCACAATGTAATATGTATTGCACACATTTAACTTTATGAAATTGGTTTTTAAATTGTCATTTTAGCTTATATGGAAAGCGTTTATAAGAGCAGCCATAGAAATCTAGCTGCTGTACTTATTGTAAGAATATCGATGAGGATACTATCTACTTTGTCATTAGGGTCTTTTTTAATGTAGTTTTATAGCAGAAGTTTTTATTAAACTGCCATGGCCAGAATAGCTTCCCTTCTTCTGAATAACTATTAAACATTTATTTTCTAAATGATCTTGTTTCTACTTTTTCTTTAGTTAATAGAGTATTAGACTTTACTTTTCAATATAGTAATTACATAGGATCTCATGACAGATAATTTGTTTACTAACTTTCCCTCAGGCACTTCTTGTACACATATATTATTTTCTTTCTGTTATCTCCTTCACTCTGAATTCTTTGTCAATTCACTTAAAATAATCTTTATTTTAAAATTTCTTAAGAACAGTGAAACAATAAACCAAACAAGCATGAAAAGCAGTGCCTGATCTAAAAAAAGCAAACTTAGCATGATTTAAATATTTTTCATTAATTTTTGTTAAATTTATTGGGGCGACATTGGTTAGTAAAATTATATTGGTTTCGAGTATACATTTCTATAAAATGTCACTTATATGTTGCATTGTGTGTCAGCCACCCAGAGTCAGTTCTCCTCCCATGATCATATATTTGACCCCCTTTTCCCTCTTCTACCACCGCCCCTCCCCCCTTAACCTCTGGTAATCATTGAACTGTTGTTTGTGTCTATGAGTTTTTGTTTCTTTGTTTGTCTTGTTCCTTTGTTGCTTTCAGTTTTATATCCCACATATGAGTGAAATCATATGGTTCTCGACTTTTTTCTGTCTGACTGATTTTGCTTAGCATGATAATCTCAAGATCCATCCATGTTGTCACAAATGACAGCATTTCATCCTTTCTTATGGCAAAGTAGTATTTCATTGTGTATATGTGCCACATCTTCTTTATCCAATCATCTATCGAAGGACACTTTAGTTGTTTTCATATCTTGACCACTGTGAATAATGCTGCAATGAATATAAAAGTATATGTATCTTTACAAATAAATGTTTTCAGATTTTTGGGGTAGATAATCAAATAAAGGATTGCTGGATCATAGTGTAATTCTATTCTTAATTTTTTGAGAAACCTCCGTATTGTTTTGCATAGTGGCTGTACCAATTTACATTCCCACTAGCAGTATATGAGGGCTCCTTTTTCTCCACAGCCTCTCCAACACTTGTTATTACTTGTCTTGCTGATAATAGCCATTCTAAGAGATATGAGGTGGTTTCTCATTGTGGTGTTCATTTGCGTCTCCCTAATAGCTAGTGAAGTTGAGCATTTTTTCATATATGTGTTGCCC